CTCGATCTCCAATTCCCATGGGGAGCATCAGAGACAAGGCAGAAGGCAGAGAGCTCAGGGAGGGGCCCAGGTTTGGAATTGCCACGGGGAGACCTTTAAAAAAATTGCTTTTCTTAATTAAAAGAAGATTAGTAACTAAAAACCACTGGCAAAACTCTTGGAATTTAGAGAAACAAAAGAATCTCCCCAGTACCCTTTGTAGCCCAAGACAGTATTGGGCAACATCTATAACAACCAAACAGTCCTAGTCCCCAAATTACTTCTCAGAAAAGGTCTATGTAGCCCAGGCTGACCTATGATCCAGTGGAATGCTGGGATTACAAGTGTGCATGACCAAACGTGGCCCTCAGATTAGTATGTATGTGTGCACATCAGGTTATTTTTAAAGTGCTAAGCTGACCCTCCAGTTGCTTCTCCCAAATACCAAAACAATTAACAATCTGGCTGAATAACAGCTCAGAGAACAAATTACATTAAAAACAATAGAGCAGGGCTGAAGAGATGGCCTAGTAATTATGAGCGTGAAGCACCAGGACCAGAGTTCAATTCCAGCAGCCATTTCAGTCCTCCAGGCCAGACCTCTGCAAGGCACCTGCCCTCATGTGCATATACTTACACATAATTAAAAACAGTAAAAATGACTCTTTAAGGTAAATAAGCATTAAAAACCAAACTGTTCACAGGTGTGGCCTCTTGCAGTGATAACTTTTTTAAAGCTTTATTTTCCCTTTTTAACACGATACACTTCACTTTGAAAGCACTCAATTGCTTGGCATCACGGTGCATTACTGTAATCCCAGGACCAGGAAGGCAGAGGCAGAGTTTTAAGCTGAGCTTGGGCAACATAGTAAGACCCTGTTTAAAAATGTAACAAACAAAAACCAGCTATGTTTGTATTTGAATCCATCCAGATTAAAGTTAGACACGGATCGCTATGTGTTTATTTTCAGCCCTTTCTTTCTGGGCTATACTTACAATCCAAACAGTCTGACCCTTAGGCCACACCCACTTTGGATCACACCCACTGGCAAAATGCTTAAATGACTTTTCCTGCGCTTAAGCATCAAATGAATATCCACCAACTTAGTCAGTGCTGATTTGCATGCTTCAGCCAAAGGCAGTGTTTTTAATACAAGCCTTTTCTAAATAAGACTACCTACTAAAAGAAATGCCTAAGAGATAAACAGATGGGCTATCAATTTTTTTAAATGAGTTTCAAGGCCAAGGCTGACCTTCAACTCCTATCTTCCTGCCTGTACTCTTAAATGCTGAGGTAAGAGCATACACCATTATGTTTTTTTAAGTTTTTGTGGGGCTGGAGAGATGGCTCAGCAGCTAAAAGCATTTGCTACACTTATAAAGGATCCAGGTTCAGAGCATTAGCACCCACATGGTAGTTCACAACCGTCTGAAACTTGAGTTCCAAGGGGTCTGACTCCCTATTCTTGCCTCTGTGGGCACCAGGCACATATGTGGTACACAAAAGTGATCCTGGGCCTGCTTCAGATTATCAGTGTGTAAAGAAGCACCATGTTTTCAACAGAATCCAACAAAAGACACAACATCACGTAAATAAACTTTAATTTTTAAAAATTTTTTGTGTTGACACTTTAAGGAAGGAGATGCTAATTTCAATTAATCTGACTTAGCTGTGGCATTTTACTAATTCAGGATATAATTCTCTACAAAGAACTATTGAACTACCTTTTACATGTCACTTAAAATACTAAACAAGTCCAGTACAACATTACAATGCTACATATCCTTAACATTAATAGCTTACTCATTTTTCACCTCAATGGAAAAGAAAATAAAACTGGACAGTAAAAGGGTTTCAGAACCAAGCATGTGGCACATGTCTGTAATCCCAGCACTTGAGAGATTGGGGTCAATCCAGGTTACGAAAGATCAGTTCTCAAACAAAACAACAAAAAGGGAGTTATATGTTAAGGCATGGGCAGGGAGGAACGAGCTTCCTCCATCCTGTGTCTCTGCAGATGCCCATGCTCACAGTGACTTCCACATAGGAGCTTCATCTCTCGCACCACTTTCCCATAAAGCCGGCCTTGCACACTCCTACAGATATTCAGTTTCCCATCTAAGACAGGCCTGATTTCAAAGAGGAAATTTAGCTGATTTTCTCCATTAATTAGGGACATGATGTCAAAGTGTCAACCAGATGAGTATGAGAAGCCCCAGATAAAAAGCCAAGTCAATTTCAGCTCTGGATCAGAGAGAATAACCCGAAAGGACCGATCAGGAAAAAACCGCTAGGATGCTGCAACTACACAAACACTCGGCGGGGGCCACTCCCTGCTTTCTCTGTATCACCCTAAAATGCATTCAGAACTGAGCACAATGCTCAAGTGCAATGGCTCCCACTCACCTGGGGCGGGGATGGCGCTGTGAGAGGGAGAGGCGGCCAAACCCAGGTGACTTCCTGAGACTGGCAGGGCATTGCTCACAGAGGATGAAGACA